CTCCCGCTGGCCTTGCAGGTCCACTGCCGGGCCCCTGATGTCAGGGGGTGTGGCATATGCTAATGAGTTATGCTAATGAGTTCCCCTAGCTCTTTTTCTACGAAATGACCCCTGCTTGGGAGACCTCCAAGGAATACCAGGACTGGAACGCAGAGGCAGGAAATAGTAATCCACTTCTCTGAAACGTCCACGCCCCACTACGGGTCACCAGAAGTCATAATTATAATAAAATCATAATAGAAACAGCAGAAACGATGAACTAAGAACAGCAGTAAAAGAAAAACACAGACAAACTTCTGCCTTCTCAAACCCCCAGAGCTTGCCTACATAAAAACGTGATTTGAGTAGTTAAACTCCAATACCTAACATTTTGACTCTCATTCTGCTCGTCAACTGAGAGTGGGGAACCAATTGTTCAGTGACCTATTTCGATGCATCCAAACGAATCTGAACATACCCACCTGCATAATTACACCATTTGGTGAACCCCTTGCAGGAACCTGGACCTTAACCAGGCTATCAGAAAGGGCAGGGATCCCAGCCTCCTATATAAGCCTGCAGATGGATAGGTGCCTTGGTGGTTCAACAGCTCCCACCAGCTATTTATGCCTAGCTAGGAAAGAGACAGCCCTTCCGCTCGCGTCTCTAGCACCGTGTTCATACTTTCCCATCTCCTGCTTTGCCTGAAGTATCCTGCTTCACTCTTGCCTCACTAATACGGGCGCTACAGACTCCTTGCCACATACAAGGATTTTTGCACCCTCTCTGTTTCCCTGTGAGGAAACCACTGCAACCTTCTAGGGACTTGGGGAAAGTCAGGCCTATGCTGTCAGCCAGACTAGGCCATTGACATATGAAAAAGACACATCCCTATCACACCGGTGACACTACTAAGAAAAAATGACTGCATATTTAAAAATGGTGCAGCCTTAACCAAAAGGGATATTTTATCACATTAGCTACTGTGTAGGAAAATGTCTACCACAAAGCTTTTTTCTGATGTCCTATGTATGACCTGCTTATTCCATTACCAGCAAAGGCAAACTAGCTTCATTACATCTGGCAGAGAAAATAGACACTCAGGAAGTCTGATCAATATATGCAAAGTGGTTGTAGCAGCTCTCATTCGGCCCCAAAATCCTCTGAGGCAGGTCACTTGATTGTCCCCATTTTGAAGTCGTCAACACTGATGGAATTTGAACAAGCTAGATCTCCCAGATGCATGCTACATCATATTCAATAGGATAATTCGTTTCATTCACAATCTGCTAGTAGGTCCATTATGAACATATAGCTTCATGGTTCATTAGAACTGAAATCTGATGGTAATAGCTCTAAAACAGTAGACTGAGTCATCTAGTCAGCAACGCTCTGGTTGGTTATTGCAGAACCCTCTCTGAAAAGAGAGGCAACATTTTTCCTTGGAACACTCCTGCACTCAGTGTTAGGATGCCAGCAATACAAACTGACCTAACTATGACAGCTGAGACAGACAGAAATGTGGTCCAGCACTGCTAACTGGTACAAGATAAAAATGTCAATAACAGAAGCAAAAGTTTTGTCTAAAAATATTTTATTAGAGCAAGTTTCCCAGGAAACAAAATCTGATATATAAGAGGATACCCAATGCATAAAACTTTGCCATTTAAGTCTCATGGACAGAAGGGGGGGGGGAGTGGTAAGTGATCTGATTCACAGAAGCACCATAGCTAAGACCATGCTGCTTTGGTCAAGTCATGGCTTTAGAGACCAAACACGCTGATCCATCAAGTTTTAAAGTAAATGTTTACAAAGTATCAACTGTTTTATATGTCCTATCATGTTCTTTCATGCTCAGCTCACAAAGATAAAACCCTTTGAAAACAGGAAAACAAATGATTTCAGCATTAGATGCCAAAACATAGAAATCTTAATACCAATGTACAACATAATACAGTATTTTTTTACAAAAAAAAAAGTTCTCAGACTTCCTATTTAGGCAAGATGCTACATAGGGCTAAAACATTTTTAAAGGTTATGAAAGAATATTGATCATATTGGAGGAAAGTTTTGCCTTTGCTTCAGTTTTCAAAGTTTACGTACTAGGGGGCTCAACATCTAGTGACAAATAAAACATAGCCTGAAACAAAGGTCATACGTTCTACAGCTTAATTACAAAGCACAAACCAGTAAAAAGTTAAAAAAAAATCTCACACAGCAAAAAACACAAGACAGCAACAAGTGAAGTGCATAATAAAATTTGCACAGTACTGGGAACCAACAGGGCTCATTTTAACTTGACATCCCATTGGCTTGATGTTGTTAGCTAAAATTTGACCAACAACAAAATATCCAGTTAGAATCCTAAGAAAAACAAAAATAAATGCTAAACTCCCATATCTATAGCAGCTTAGCCGGAAGCCAGCCTAAATAAAACCTTTTATCCAAAGGCATTCAGGCTCAGGCTATGACAAAATTCCAGGGGAAGGAAGTTCAAAGGCTACATGGCTGCCACCTAAAATACTTTCATTTAATCTTATTTGGGCTAACTTCATGGGTGATGAACTTAAGATGGCACTAGGTTAGAAGAACAGGAACTATATGATCTCTCTGGTTAGAAGACCTAGTCAGGCATAGCCTTGCACAGACAAATTCCACACCTTCAAGATACAGTCGATGAAGAAAATGCAATAAAAAAATCCCCTTCAGGGGGCAAATAATAAAAAAAAGATAGTCGATGATTCACTTGCACTTTTGATGGCTACCCTTTGGATTTCACACACCTTTGATCTCCCAAAAGCAGGGAGATGTATACCAACAAACCAGAGCATCAAGGAAACATGCATGTTACTATCAAATTATTATTCTGCACTGTTCTTCTACAGTCCTCCAAACATGTTTCAGAATCCCTATTTTACCATAAGAATGTTTTGAAAGTATCTGGGGAGGGGAGGTGGAATCTAGCCTTGTATCATCCAAGAAGGTGACTTATTGTGTGACTAGACAAGGTTTAGTAATGCGGGTCTTGAATTAGCTGGGGAGATCACAGCAGGTAGTTCTTCTTTTAGTAGACACCCTTCATGTGCTGAAGGGCCCTATATACAGTGTTATACTCCCCTGGCTTCAATCCTCACCCGTTCCCTAGCACTGTCCAGTATCATGCACCAGGTACAGCTCTGCCCTCTTGTTCCCTATAGATAATGCCTACAAAGGCTGTATCTGGGAAGAACAGAACAACAGGCGCTGTCTGGATGTAGCAAACTACTTATCCTCCATTCATTTATAAATGATTTGATAACAGCGTTAACTAGCTTTTAAGATACAAATCATGTCATTGTTTTTTTCTTCTAAAAAGATTATTAAATTTGATCTTTTTAAGTTATGAAAACCTACATACACTAATTTCCACCTTATTTTCCATGTCCAACTACATATCCTTGAATTCATGTAGTACACCGATACACTATCATAGACAGATCATTTCAGCATCAGAATGGCTTCATATGAATTCTGCCCTCAAGGGAAACTGAGGTCTGGTGGATAAAGTAATGCATGTTCAAGGATGGCAACTGCAAAACTGTAGTCTTAGTTGCATGACTGCATGCTCATTCCCCATTGCCATAAGACTAGGACCTCAATGTGCAAAAGGATGTGAATGTGGTGGCATCATACACTGACCTTGAAGAGAATGAAACACCTAATATTATGCTACAAAGAAGTCTTATCATTTTATATCAAACTGAATTGAAAGTTCTGGTAAGTTCTGTGCTCTGTTATTCCTAACAGAGTCAATTCATGTAGGGATTGCATGCAAAACAGAAAGACAGCTTGCACAGAAGAGACCGTTTCTCCTGCCACTCCTATAAGTATATTTTCTTTGCAAGTATGCATTGTCTTGGACTACCACATTAAGAATTTGGCTTCCATCACCTCCAAATGGTTTTTGATACTTGAAACGGTTTTTATTTAGCTGTTGTTGTTGTTGTATTGTTCCTTCCCCCCCACCACAAAAACAACCAACTACTTTTCAAATACAGTTCTCAGTAATGATTCTTTCATACCATAAGGAAACAGATTTCCTAACATATACAATTTTCAAACTGCACAGGCTACTCTGTGGACTAAATAAGCAGAGCAAGTAGGGAGAAAAGCATGCGTTAGATCCCCCCCACCAAGTATGAGTGATAAAAGCTGCCATTATCTTCCTCCTAGAAATGGAAACTTTCCTCAGCTCTAAATGAGCACAATACTTACGTTACAGAGACATTCACACTGGGCCTCCCCTGAGCACTAAATCCTCACCACAGGTGTATCTTAGTTGGCTCTCACCTTAGTGGCAAACTCATCTGTACCTACCAATTATTGCAGTGAACAGTCTCCATTTTCTAAATAAAATTAGGGGGGAAAAATCCATAGTATCTGCTAGGTCTGAATATACTCATGGTGCTTCTTCACATAGAAGAAACAGCACCATGTGGCTTTGCCTCTGTTCTAGAAGCAGAAAGCAGAGATATAGACCCATTCCTTATGAGGCATAAATGGCTATAGGTAATTGACATCCTGTAGATCAGTCAAAACTAAATACAGGGCTGAGACAAAAAGAAACTGCGGAGACCATTCTAACAGGACATGCCCTGAACCGGGATTCTGTAAGTGGGACAAAGAAGATGCACTGCACACTTTTCCTGAATGTGTAAAGTGACCTCAAGTGCATCACTGCCCAGAAGTAACAAGTATGGGGCAAACTTGAAGCAATACTCTTAAATCTAGGGCAAGCCCAGTGCCAAAGTATTCTGGCACTGATTTAAGTAATTAGACTCAAAGTCTCTCCTTATACTATACTGTGCTATGGCAGTCCAGAATTAGCCAACCATGGCCTGTAATCACTTGGCAAATACTTCAATTGCTATGTGCGTCTGTTTCAATTCTCAACAGAAATCACACATCGGAACTGCATTCAGTCCAGAATTCAATCAGTTGCAATAATTATGGAAACCAATTAAAAAGTCTTAAAGCTTGTATTAATATTTGTGTGTGATTTTTTTTAAGTAGCCAGTTTCTTTTCTTAGGGAAAACCAAGGACTGCAGAAAAGTCTGTGCAGGATGTTTAATCAAATCACAGCTTAAAAAGAAATCTTTCATGCTGGACCACTGCAAACTTCATATGCTAAAGACAAGTAGATGAGGGCAGAGATAAGACATTGAAAAAACTAGTTCAAAAATGGGGACTGAGGTGAGGGGGCTGAATGAATGAACACACACAAAAAGGCTGGAATGTAGAGTGTCAGCTGCATAAAACCAACTGTTAGAGGCAAAGCTTGTGCAGAAAAGAAAAACCACCTGTGTGTGCAATGTCTGTCTGTTTTTTAAAGACAAAGCTCCAGACAAAACCTAAAGGGCACAAGTTTTAACAGCAAGGTCCACAAAAAAGTGCAAATGTTTCTTTCAAAGGAAGCTGCTCTTTTTGGTTACTAAGTTCTATTAAGCAGTGAAGATTATTCCCTGGTGGTATTGCAAAACAACAACAACACAAAACCTTGTCAAGACCAGTCACATTGTTTCGAGTTAGCCCCAAATTAGCAGCAACAGATATTTTATTACATGGCAAGATATAAGTCCACAGTCCTCTTCTATGTTGTAGTTTGCATCAAAGAACCTGAGCATCAGTAAAACCCAACTGAGCCTCTGGACACCTCCCCCTCCTATGCTGTTCCAGTGTCCGCTCTGATTGGGAATAAAAAGACTTCTAGTACAGTCACTATCTGCATCCTCTTGAACTTGCACAGGATGCCGAGCCATCTGAAAAAAGAGGAAAAAAAGTTGTTGACATTTCCCAAGAAATCTGGTGTTCCATTCATCCTTCTAGGAGCATAGAGCCACCAAGAAACCTTTAAGAGCACCAACAGCAAGGTATCTATTCCCTAACTAAAGAAACAGCCTGGGAAACTGAACAAACATTCCCTTCATTAGCTGTCAAGGTAGGCAGGCAATGTGACACCCCCCCTCCCAAGCAAAGCAATACTGCATCATGCACTAGAGCAGATACCACAGGCCAGATGCTGTTCTGCATCATGGATCTGCAAACAAGACTTCTTTGCCCTCTCTTACTCCAGCAGTTACCATGATACCCATTCACTAATTACATACCAACTATAAAGCTGACCTCAAAAACATATCTTCAGCCATCCTATGTCAGTTAATTCTAGAGCTTCCTGAGTAACTTCAAGACACCTCTGGAGCCCTCACTAGAAGGAGTCTTACTCCAGGCTCAGAGTACAGACTTCACTGTACTACAGGCTCAGGTATGCTTGATGAAATTCAGGCAGTGAACACAGCCATCTACAGATTGCACCCTTCACCCATTGGCTTTCCAGTGAGCAAACTTTCCCACAACCTCTATAGCACTTCTAAAAGCAAACCTGTAATGCCATTGACATCTGATAGGCAAAAAGGATCCTTGACTAAAATTGAAAATGCTCTGTGAGGAATTAATGGAGAAAGCTTTTAATGATGCTGCTCCTGTGACAGTAAGCACACAAACGAACACAAAGATACTGACAAAAATGCTTGCAACTGTACCGTAGAGAAGGGGGTGGGCGGGCAGGAATACCAGCTTCTCAAGCAAAGCTGTAGAAAGTGCTAAATTTGCTCTCTGCAGGTACAGAGCCCAATGGCGGGATAACACAGAGACCCAATGAAGAGGAATTTCTATTTCCTACTCCTTGAAGTTTCTTTCTCAACTAATCTTACTTTCACTGCCCTTTCTGCAATGCAGTGTGCTTGCTATTTTCTTTTCAGCAGAGCTGGATAGGGGCATTCCCTCCTCTCTCTCTACAGTGAACAAAGCTATCATCAATGAAATAATTTAGAATGAAAATCTTGATTACTTACTGTAGGTTAATTCTTCTCCAGGTCTCTTACGTGACTGATCACCCCTGAAACAAAATGGGTAGGGGTACGTTATAAAAAGTTAGTGCGATGGCTGAGGTGAATCCTGCTCCTATCCTACCACTCTGCTTGAAGTCCTCCTTCAACCTGAGGAGCCTTCCTCCAACAAAGAGGAAGAGTCACAGTGAAGAGCCACGTAAGTTGGAGGAAGACTCCTTAGGATGAAGTAAAGCTTCAAACTTTGCTGAGTGGACTCTGGGAGAACAGGGATAGAATACTTTAAATAACAGCCATATATGCCAATGATAATAGTATTTACTTACTTCTTTTATACCCTGCCTTTCTCCCCAATGGAAACCAACAACACTCTCCCCATCTTTATTTTATTCATAACCACCCTGTGAGGTAGTTTAGGCAGAGAGAAGAAGAAGAGCTGGATTTATACCCCACCCTTGCTCTATATCGGCAATGAGGAACTGAGTAGGATGCACAGGTAAGGCACCAGACCTGCCTTAGGATGGCAACAAGGGGACGGGAAGTAGCTTTTCAATTTATCTGTCTTATACAGTGTTCTCATTTCAAAGTCTACTTGACCATGCAGACGCAGTTAGCTATGTTACAAAAAAAACAACAAGTAGTCCAAGGAGCACCTTAGAGACTAATAATATTTCCCAGAGGTATAAGCTTTTATGAGTCAAAGCTCACTTCAACAAACACACTTCATCATATCACATAAAGTAAGTTTTGACTCACAAAAGCTTAAACCTTCGGAAAATGTGATGGTCCTTTACTATTGGACATAGATTTTGTTCTGTTACTGCAGACTAACAGAGCTACCCACCTGACACTGCATCACAAGACATAACATAAAATCTGGCCCTCAGTGATAAAAGTGTTTGAGGATTCTAAAAAACGCAGGTCCTGTTTTTTTGCAAATCAACCAAGTACAGCAGAAATGTTTACAGGCAACACAATTTCACATTCTATTCCACCAACATTAAATGGGCTCTTGGGATTCTCTGCTCTGTAGATTATTATGCCCAGGGCTACATTTTGTGAGAGACAGAATGTGTGTGTGGGTGTATATATACCTTTTTCACTCTCAAACATTCTGCCCTGGAGGCTACAAAGACTACTTTAATGTACATAAAACCTAGAACAACAGGAAGAGGGGGCAAATGGTAGAGAACAGACTGGCTTTGGGGTTCAGCTAGCTCACTTGCCTTCATCAGCCACCTCCTCAATGGCCTGCTTCTAAGCCCCTTATGAAGCACCTGCAGCCTCTTTCCCCCTCCCATTGCCCTAATCAGGCTAACTGCCAGGAGCTGTTGGCAGTGATTAAAGTGGGGGCTTAAAAAACCCATGCTGCTTTACTGCTGTTGCAACATTCCTTCTCCTTGCTGCTGTTGTCCTGGCAGCTAGTGGGTGTGGTTGAGTTGTAGCCTTATAGGGCCTATGCTGTGTTACCGCTGTTGCGGCATTTCTCCTTTTTGCCACTGTCCTAGTGCTCACACTGTGGGTTCCCAAGTGAGCATCCTGCAACTCCTGGGTAAGTCTGAGGATGGCTCTGGCAATGGGGATGAGCCCACTCTCAGACAGTGGTCCAGTAATGAGGCTTCAAGCAGCCTGCATCACTCTTTACCCACTCCTTAACCAAAACCAGAAGTAGCATACACATCTCCCAAAGCCTCGTCTAACACTCTAACCACAATACCACACTGGCTCTCAAGCTCTGAGGATCAGAGTGTTACAGCTTTTGCAAAAACTTTGATACTTTCACCATGATAGTTGTGAACTCAGTATGTTCTGTGGTTAAAATACCCAAATAATGTTACTGTGGAGCACACTATGAACTAGTATAATACATGTCCACTATTTACAGCTAATACTTGCTGCTAAGAGTTTGGTTCAATATTCATTAGTTAATAGAGATGCCGTAGTCAAGACCATCTATTAGTGCAGATCTAGATGGAATACTGCATCATGAGTATAATTGCTGAAATCCTTCATTATGCAGTCTCTGTATGAACTGCCTATAGGGGTTTTGACTTATTGTTCCCTAGCCATTTCAGTATTATAGTAAGGTAAAGTTGAAAATTAGAGCATTAGAGCAAGAATTAATAAAAAACAATGACGAAGATGCAAAAGAGGTAAGCAATCTACCAGAACTCTTCCAAAACCGTCACTACTGTCTAAGGCAGAAAATGAACTGGGGATCTGAGTGGACCCACTGCCCGACCAGACGTTTGAGTTTACCTGCCTCCTAACTGGTTGGTTGGAATTACCTATAAGATGCCCCCCAAAGTGAGAAAATTTCTTGCTTATCTACCACTATTTCCCTAGTGACCCAACTTCTTTAGTTTATTAGTGTAGTTTTATCAGCTTATGGTCGGGGTCCAGCTTACCTAAGGGACCGCCTTTCCTCATATGTTCCCCCGCGAGCACTACGGTCTGGGACGCAACACCTCCTGGCGATGCCAGGTCCCAAAGAGGCCAGGCTGGCCGCTACCAGGGCCAGGGCTTTCTTGGTGGCGGCTCCTATCTGGTGGAATGAGCTCCCGGAGGAGATCCGGGCCCTGCGGGACCTTGCACAGTTCCGCAGGGCCTGTAAAATGGAGCTCTTCCGCCAGGCGTATGAGTAGGAGCCGCCACTACCATCACTACTGTTCTATCATAATCTGGCCCTGGAAGAAGGAACATCAGCGTTTTCCGGAACAGATGACGCTGAGTAGGTAGAGCAGTTGTAATAGAGCAGTTGTAATACGCCATCGGGTGGAATATCATGTTAGAACATCCGGAGCACTTTTGTTAATAATAATGTTACTGTACTGTAGTGATTTTAAATTGTTTTAAATATGTTTTATATTGGCTTATGCCTCCTTGTAAGCCGCCCTGAGCCCGCGTAGCGGGGAGGGCGGGGTATAAATTCAATTTATAAAATAAAAATGAAATAAATAAAAGAGGGCAATGGGTGAAGGTACTTACCTTCCAGCCCTAAAACATATTCGAGAGCTGCGGGCCTCGAAGGATACACTACTTCCATTAAGGGATTTTACTAAATATCTTAAATCACACTGGTATGCTAGTGAAAGAAATGCATAAAAAAGACAAATGCCAGCTTTTGCTTCATTCAATTCATTGTTAATAAAAGGCATGGAAGAGTTAACGTTGACATAATATCCATATGACTCATGGTTACACTATTTTCTATCGTAAGTGACCTATGACATTATAGATAAATTATCCTCCTGGAATCTTGCCAATGGTAAATCCCAATCTTAAGGCTTAATTTAGCAAGAGTCTTTGGGGAAAAGCAATTTAGAATTTTCAATTAAAATGAAACAAACTTCTTAATCAGATTTCTAGATTTAAGTGATTAGGTATAATTGTGTAGTTTCGAATATTTTTACTGGCAAAAAAGGAGGCTGACAAAGCTAGTCATTCTACGAGACTGGAAAGGTTCAACTACAAACTTTAAATGATGACCTTGCAAGGAGAATTTCTACATTTCTTGGCAAAAGCCAAATGCATACACATGACAGTGTGTAGGACAATGTGGAACACAAACAGATCCAGTTTCCATTCGTTCCTCCACTACCATATTAAAAACCAGTTTAGAAAGGTCCCAATTAAGACAAAGCAAAATACTTTTAATTGGGGAAAGTACTGGTCATATTTGGACCATAAAACAAAACTTCTGACCAAGTTTCTTCAAGGTTGCCAAGGATAAGCAGATGTGGGTCTGCTCAGTGCTTGGAGGGGGGAAATCTCTTGGCGACTGTATGTAAGTCACTTTGAGTTCCACGGCAGATGACAGATGAGATACAAGTGTAATCAATACATAAAATTACATCATTTATTGTAATTGTATTCATATGATAGTGTTAGGTAATTTTGTAAAGGTTATTCAAGACAGCATGCTTTACCTTTGCCTTTTCACACATTTTGAGAAATGAAATATAATACTCTTCCCTCACCTCTCCTCAATGAAATCATGTGGAATATCCCTATGATCTCATAATTCTGCTTCCTACAATTCAGGTACCACTGTTCTCTGGAGTCAAAGGAGCACCCAAAGAAAGTGAAGATTATGTCTTTCTCCCATAATATTCACACCATTGCAGGAGTTATTCTTTCACTCACATTCTCCACACACTGTTTGTTCTCCACACAAGTTGTTCTGAGGGTTCTTGGTAAATTTTGTCCATACAGTCATATGCCATGGAAAATGAGTCACCACAGAAATATGTGGCAATAATTTAAGTGGTTACAGCATTTCCCCCAGTTCTGATCATCATGAAAATTGCTGGTCATATCCACAACTTCCCGGTTTATTTTTTATTATTTTATTCTATTTGTATCCCACCCTACCCCACAAGCAGGCTCAGGGCAGCTCACACAACACATAGTAAAAAAAAAATAGTTCATAAAAACATCATACCACTTCATCAAGATAAAATACATTAAGTTAATAGATGGTGGCAGCTTAAAATGTCTAACTACAGTGCAATGCTGCAAGAGTGTCAGGTGAGGTGCCACATTTCTTTCTGAGTAACCAGAGTCAGCTGATACTGGTGCCCAGTTGGTACAGGTAGTGCCCTAAAACAGCTGAAACAAATCAATAGACCAAGCAGATTGAGCAGGGAAGGACAGTGTTATTTGGACATCCACTGCCTTAGCCAAAAGCCTAGTGGAACAGCTCCGCTTTGCAGATCTGCAGAATTGTAGTAGATCCCGCAGGGCCCTGATCTCAACTAGGAACATGTTCCACCAGGCAGGGGCCGGGGCTGAAAAGTCCCCTTCGGTCCGGGGACTACAAGGTGCTGCTGCTCAGAAGAGTGCAAGGCTCTCTGGTGCACATACAGTTAGGGCACAGACAGTCCCGTAGATATGCTGGTCCCTGGCTGCATAGGGCCTTAAAGGTTAGTACCCTAACTTTGAATCTGATCTGGTTCTCAGCTGGCAACCAATGCAATTGGCACAGCACTGGCTGAATGTGCATCCACACAGACATCCCAGTCAGCAGATGCACCGCTGCATTTTGTACCAGCTGAAGTTTCTGGATCAAGCTCAAGGGTAGGCCCGTGTAGAGTGAGTTGCAGTAATCTAACTTGGAAGTGACCATTGAATGGATCACTGTCACCAGGTCATGGGGGGGGAGACACAGGGAACTAGTTGCCTAACCAGCTGAAGACGGTAAAAGGCTGACCTGGCAACACTGGTGACCTGGGCCTCCACAGAAAGGGAGGCACCCAGAATCACCCCTAGACTCCTCATTGTTGGGGCCAGCATCAAAGACACCCCACCAAGGGCTAGGAGTTGGATTCCCAATCTAATCCCCTCACAACTCAGGTACAGGACCTCCATCTTCACTGGATTCAGCTTCATCTGCCTCTGTTGCAACCCACCAGCCACAGCCTCCAGGGCCCTGGCCAAAGTATCTAGGGCAGAGTCAGGCCATCTGTCCATCTGTAGATACAGCTGAGTGTTGTCAGTGTACTGATGACAACCTAGCCTAAATGCCCGGATTAACTGAGCAAGGGGGCACATATAGATGTTAAAGAGCATTGGGGAGAGGCTTGCCCCTTGTGGGATGCTGCCTACCAGTGGGTAACGCAGAGATACCCTCTCCCAACTGCCACCCTCTGTTCCCGATGATGGCGAAAGGAGGACAGCCACTGGAAGGCAGCCCCCCATATGCTATCTTTTTGCATACAGGCATTACTTTTGTGAAAACAAGACACTGTTGGAACAAAACAAATACAGAAGTTAAACAGCATTGAAGGACAAAGCAAGTTACCTTTGTGTTAATTTTGTGCCTTGTCAGCTACTCTCATGGGGATCCAATGCCTAAAAAGCTGCTACCTGTGAAATCAATGCCTATTTTTTTGCTCATCATGGTTACTCTAATTATTTGTTCCAACAGCATCTATTTGTACTGTTTCTCTTTCATCAATGCAAGCTGTCGATCAAATTGACCACAAGACAAAAGGTAAAAGGATCTTTTTCTTCAGGAGATGTAAACATCTGAGAAACAAGTGGGGGATAGACAAGGCTGGATCCAGCAATGAGTTTCTGCAGGCACAAGGACTGCAGAAACACAGCAGTGGATCCAACCCACAATATGCAAATGGTTTTCTGCGAAAGCTGTTCCAAAGGATGCAACAGTACAATTCTACAATCAGACAGATAACTGAAAGCAGCTTTATAGAAACAGCTATAACTGGACACTTGCCACAGTATTAGGAAAGGCTGCAGTTAATAGCTACAAAAGCACCAGTCAATGTAAAACACACACACAAAGCCTGTGGCAAATATTTAAATATTTTCTGCAGTGCTTTATTTGTGGGTATAGGTGATTGATATAAACAGTCTTAGATCACTGGTTTATTTGAATGTTTATCTGTTTGGCTGCAAAAATGTCCTAAAATGAACCTGAATAAAAGGGAAAATAGAGTAATTATTCTGTTTTGTGTAAAATGTACCATTTTAATGCACACTGAAGTAAAATAATGCAGAGTCCCACAAAACCACGTTCAACTCAACAAGGAGATGATTCTGTTCCTGAGAGAAACATTGCCTTGATGAATACTGCACAGAATTAAATACATCAGAACTATTATCCATTAAAAATGCACCAATCAACTGTCCAGAGCCAATGCAACTGTTCTGTATTTATCAAGGGCTATCATGTACCAAAAGTCTTCCACAAATAGTAGGATTCAGTAAACGACCTGGATCCATTCCCTAAAGTCATTTGATTGAAAGCTAAATTCACTCAGATTTGTGATGCTTTGAACATTAACCTGAGAAACATGCTGGAAAACCTGGGCCCAAACTTGCAAATATTAGTACTTTTACCTGGAAAACCCTTCCTGAATAAGTTCTTGTTGAAGTTTCTGGTCTTGAGCAGCATATTCTCCAAGTTCAGATTCTACTGCAGGAGGGAGGATGTTTGGAATAAATTTAGAAAATAAAGCTGGTGCCATCTGAACCCATTCTGCGGGGAAACAGAAAGTAATGGTGAGTGGCACAAAATAATTTCTATGTTTCAGTCTCACATATCCTTTGAGACAATTCAGTGGCAGGCCTGTCTAATCCTAATACTCACCTTTGGCAGTATAAACATTTAAGTACAAAGGAAGAAATCTAACTTTGCTGCAGGCAAAGTGAGAATGCTAACACAAAACAAAAGAACAGGTACAGTGTCTTTTGGACCCATGCTAGCTTTCTGATGAGAGGTCACCACAGTGGAGGAGAGTGCTTTCCCGCCCCCCAATGGGGCAGCAACTATTACTCCTCCTAGATACTTTTGCTGGCCCACGCATCAGTAACTTCTACACTTGACTACTGCCATATGCTCTGTATGCAGCTCACTTTTGAAGACAACTCTGAAACACGAGCCGAATGCCCATTGCTTGTCTGGTACAGGCATCATGGCCATAATTTTATCAATTTACAGCAGTGGCTTTGGCTACCAATTTGCTTGTAGATCCAGTTCAAGATGCTTTAAATGTTGAGGTGTCGGCTCTGTCTGTTATGAAGGCCAGATCTGATATAAATGTCACTTCGATGGACCGGGCCATGAGTGCCATAAAATGTAATGCCAGGTATGGGAAATAACTTTATGAAGAACACAGGCAAACCCAATTAACAATACTTTTTAAAACTCAAAATACAAACATGCTTAAAACATCAACATTCTTACAGGATTTCCTCAAAGCATCTCCCTGTTGCTTACCCCCCCCCCCACTTCCACCGCCCATTGCGTATTAGCACTGGGACAGGATACAGGGACATAATGCACAGCCTCTGTCATCTGGCAATAAAGGTAATGACCAGGTGCTTGGGGGCCGGATAACTGCCCTGGAGGGGCCACTTCTGGCACGCAGGCCATATGTTTGACAACCCTGCTTTAAAGCTTTTCTCCACATAACCCCATGTGCTTTTTAAGATCTAGCCAATAATCCTTGCTGATTGTTTTCAGATTTGTACCCCGCCCTCTCATGGTCAAATTAGGAGTATGATGGTAAGTAACAGAGCTTTGTTGGCAGCAACTTACCAAATCAGAATCACTTCTCAGAAGGGACAAGGAAACCTCTTTGCTTAGCTTTTGCAAACTCTTCCCCTTTAAAACTGGCTTTTCGTTTACCATCTATATGTAAAATGTCTTACAGTGGATTAGGAAAATGAACTGAAACAGTGTTTATATGGGTTTTTGGGTAAAAGTTCTGTATTGCTAAAATTATTTCAATTCTTAGTTTTAATTACTTGTGGTTTCTGTGTAAGATGTTGATTTACATGATTCCTATTTAATGCATTGCCCTCTGAAAATATAGAAATGGCTGGGCTTACACCCTCAAATAAATCAGTCACAAAGTGTTCTTGAACATTAAACTATGTGGCTTCCTGAAGCAATGCACTTACTGAATTGTACACTGGGCAAGATAGCAGATGAGAATTTATGGACTTTAACTACACATTCTTTAATTAAAGTATACGTGAGCTAGGAAATACCTTGTGAAAAAGGTTTAAAAGCAACATGTAGTGTACTCAGAGGAAATGGAGAGTTAGGATCCAAGCCCCACATAAACATATCACAGCAGGCCATCCTCAAGGTCAGAGAAGTCTGACATGAGGGGAAAGATTTGTTTTGTTACTGCTAGGTGAAACTCTTGTTTTCCCAGCAGTGACATAGAGGATTTGATTAGAAGACATCTCTAGCCATAGTTCCCAAGAGTTCTAGTACCAAACCAGGAGGTCTTGGAGCTACGGTGCCAGTAACAGAGAATGGAAGTCTTGCATATGATTATTTTTCTTCTCTTGAGGTATAACTGATAAACTGATGGGATTACTGTTGCTTTCCTTGTCTTTGCTCTACCAGCAAGAAACAAGAATTGATTCTGATAAGCAACCACTTGATTTGACAGACAACCATCAAATGATCACTGCCTGTTTGTGTCCAAGATGAACTGCAGGGTCTATAATTGTATGAATCTCTATACAAGGACTGAACTGGAATTTGAGGTATCTCCTATCCTGGAAGGGGCTACATGACCCCTAAAAGAGCAGATTTGCAGGCTGGGGATGCTGCTGGACCTAGGTCTCCTGTTGGATAAACAGGTGGCAGTGGTGGCCAGGGGCACCATCCACCAGCACTGGCTGGTGAGCCAGCAATGGCCTTTCCTGGATAAGGAAGATCTTGCCACTATGGTACATGCCCTAATAACATCTAGTTTGGATTACTGCAATATGCTCTACATGAGGCTCCCTTGAAGAGTGTCCAAAAACTACAGTTAGTACAGAATGTTGCAGCAAGAATGCTGTCTGGAGTGGCTCATACAGACCATATCATTCCACTCTTGTTCCATCTGCAGTGGCTTCCATTCATTACAATAATCTTCAAAGGATATGTGTAGGGTGCTCTTGTCATCTGAAGCTAGAGGGGCAGCAAACCGCAAAAATGGGCTTGTTGGTTGTGGCACCAAAATTGTGGGATTTCCCTTTGTTTGTCTGTTCCTCTTGATTATTGTCTTCCACCAGTGGGTGAAGACTTTTCTGTTTCATCTGGTTTACCCTTACTGATCCTCCATCTTACTAGTTTATTTTTAATTTCTTTTAATTGTTTGACACCTTAAAGACCCCAACTGGACAGAACAATGGAATACAATTGTTTTAAATAAATAAATTTAAGTCTTCTTCACCCTTTACTAATAAGTTTGATTTAAAAATACAGACTTAATCTAGTTTATGGGATTTCAAATTCCATCACAGAAAACAAAAGCAATCAACATTATGGATCACGGCAAATAATGCCCCCCTGTGTCTTTTTTTGCTCAGATCCCTGTATCCAAACTCTATACATGGATTCAATTGATGGGCTTAGACACATCACTTTCCCTTATAACTTGGCTCCCTATCTATAAAAATGGAACTGTAGTTTATCTCACAGGCAGGGCAAGATGACTGCTATGGAGTAGTTCATATAACAAAGTGCCATATTGGAACCCGTGGGCACTCCATGAAATTGCTGAGCGGTCGGGTTAGAACGGATAAAAGGAAGTACTTCTTCACCCAAAGAGTGATTAACACATGGAATTCACTGCCACAGGAAGTGGTGGCAGCTACAAGCATGGATGGCTTCAAAAGGGAATTAGATAAGCATATGGAGCAGAGGTCCATCAGTGGCTATTAGCCACAAGGTATAGATAGGGACTCTGGGGCAAGTGATGCTCTGTCATCTTGGTGCTTGGGGGGGGGGGGCCAACAGGGGGAGGGCTTCTAATGTCCTGGCCCCACTGGTGGACCTCCTGATGGCACTGGTATTTCTGGCCACTGTGGGATACAGAGTGTTGGACTGGATGGGCCTTTGGCCTGATCCAACATTGGCATCTCTTATGTTCTTATGTTCTTAACTAACAAAAATATTGTCGTTCATATAACAAAGTGCCATATTGGAACTAACAAAAATATTGCATTGCTATTGCATTCCCATTTTTTTTGAGTTGACAACCCCACCAAAACACTAATAGACACTGGGGTCATATTATGATGCATGTGTAGGTACAAAAATAAGCAACACCATTCCACAGTAATACTTGTTTCTATTCTCACTATTTCAGAATCAATAGTTGATGATACTATATAACCAATTTTAATACCTACAACTAGGGGTATGCAAAAAAAAATCATAATTTTTGTGTTTGGGTGTACTGAACCCGAAAAATATTGGTATTTCCCAATATTCATGAATCCCAATATCGGTATGATCTTGGGATTTGGGAAATAATCCTTATTTGGCTCCATTATAGCCTATGGGGACCATCCCCATAGGGTATAATGGAGAAGGGATTTAAACTTTAAATGCTTGCTGAATTCACTTGCTGAGTCATGCTGCCGCAGCAGCACAACTCAGCAAGTGAACTTAACTGAGAAAGCATTTAAAGTTTAAATGCTTGCTGAGTTCTCTTGCTGAGTTGCGCCACAACAGCAGTGCAACTCAGTGAGTGAAGTCAGCAAGCATTAACGTTTAAATCCTTGCTCAGTTAACTCACCAAGTTGTGCCGCTGTGGCAGTGTGACTTGGCAAGTGAACTCAGAAGGCATTTTATTTGGGTGCGACTACTTCAGTAGCTGAGTTGTTGTTGTTCAGTCGCACAGTCGAGTCCGACTCTTCGCGACCCCATGGATCACATCACGCCAGGCCCTCCTGTCTTCCGTCGTGCTCCAGAGTTCGCTTAATTTCATGTTTGTTGCATCAATAACACTACAGTAGCTGAGTACAGATCTCTAATCTGTATTCAGCTGAATAAATACCTGAAAAAGTACAAAGCTCATATCCCTACCTACAACCACAGAAAGTGGGAAGAGACAGTTGAGCTTGGAGACCTGAATATGTCAGCCACTGACAGCAAGGTAATCTTAGGGATCAGTCTCACCTATAGCTGTTCAGTAATATAAAAAGAGATGCAAGATAATAGTTCTCACAAGGGAGTTTGTAAGGAAGACTGAGATCAGGATTATATAATCATGTATACTACATTTACTAGATGAAATCATGGTTTGCCTAAAACCAGGGAAAGCAAGAACAGTTCTGACGGAGCCATTTATTCCCTCATATACCATCAGAAATGACTGTGACCCTATCCAAGCATAATTCTTACTAAATGCCAACCAACCTAAGCCAAAACAAATGCCAACCAGTCTGATGTTAAGGTCGGTTGCACCAGTAGTTGTCAAATACATCTTCAAGGAACAACAGAAGTTCCAAAAAGACTTGCAAGAGTCTTGCTGGAACAATCCACTGATATTTTACTGTACTATGCCCTGAAAAGGATCTGACACACACCAAAAATCTGGTTTGCAATAGGAAGTTACAGACTATTCAAGAAATAACAAGTTACCTGGCCTAAGCATATATAATCCTTTCACAATGTTTGCCATAGTGGAAGGGCTTATCCAAAAAGGCGTGGACTGAGCTTCTAGGAGTAAAGCTGAAATGAGAAGAGAAACCAATTTACAATTAAATTTTAATGCCAATTATTGATTTCTTCAGTACTTACTGCCTCACAACACAGACTGCTTCATGCAAAATATTAACCTACCATGTGATCCTTACTTGAAAACAACTCAATATGAATGCCACCTAGAGACTTTTAAAACCTTCAGCTCATTTCTACAGAAAATTCTGCCTTCCTGGATTCTGTCTTACTGACACTGCAAACTTGGGACACTTTCCCCCCAAAGCAGACAAGCGATTTTCCACTTGTCTGCAATTTTTAACTAATTATTGTGCACAGTTAACATACTTGCATATTGTTCCCTGGTCAAAAGCACAGACCTAAGCAGTATAATGACAATCTAACGGCAATGTATTACAAGTCACTGCCTGCTCCCCCTGTAGAATCATCAATACTACTTACAGCCTGCTATAATACTTATCACAAGTGAATATGTAAAATTTTTTGGAAGAAGCAAAACCCATAGATTCTCATGGTACTACTACAGCCACTTTTGTTTCTTTTCTATGTGAACTCTTACTTGCTATCCATTTATGAAGAAAGGCTTCTGCTGCCATGAGTACAAGGAATTCCCTGGCAAGCCTATGCTGGGGTGGATAAACATGTCACTCATCTAAGCTGGAAAACATCAGATGAATGAGCAAGCTGCTCCTTCAGATAAGAACGAAGGTGGCGCGAATTTGCAGGAAGGGATGGAAAGATGGCTTTCCACTGAACAGGTCAAGAAACACAGGTAATGAAAAGCTATCAATTTGGCAAGCTTCTGCCTAGTCTCAAGGTGTGTGTGTGTGTGCTACAGAATCAGCTGAAGCATCGAAAGTCAAGAGCATCACAACACCAATCCACAAAGGGAATCCAAGGCCTAATGCAGCCAGCACAGAATGTCCATTTCTGGTGAGAAAGATGCAAGATAAACTCTTGTCAAGTTCTCTGGTGTACTGCTGTGCTGGAGACACCTTGACCCAGGCTGTCAGATTAGTTTTGAGTTAGTGCTAGATAAGTAATTTTCCCTCCGGTGCATGTTTTGGCACTCTTCTAGACTGGGACCACTGGGAATTGCAGCACCAAATGATTAATTTATATACACGAAAGAGGAAGTTTCCAATCATATAAAATGGTCACAGATTGAAGAGCTAAAGGAAGTAAAAGTGAACTGATGCAACTCATTTTCAGGAGTTCCTCAGTCTACTCACTGGCCAGTGCAAAACATCTATTCATGCTTCTCTAGAAGGAAACAGTGATGCATAGTAGTCCTATCACTCTTCTTGCTTTGCAGAGTTCATAAACTAAAGCAAAACATCAGAAATCTCTATCACATAATTCAGTGTTATTCTAAAACAGGGATGGGAAGGGCAATAACTGAATTGTGTGTAACATTAATGAGGCTAATTTCTGTCTGATTTTATAAGGACCAGTAACCAATTAAATGTAAGCTTTCTGAGGATAACCGTCTGCTCAGATATACCCAAGGCAAAAATAAACATTTCCTTATGAACATGAATCAATTACCAAGGGTTTTTTAAATCATATGGTATTAATTCTATGTCATACATACATATACATAGACTTTTATTGGCATAACACAGGAACAATAAGGAAGGCAATGGAACAAATAAATTAATAGAACGAATTAATAGATCATAACAAGTTACATCAAGTTACACCAACAGGGGATCATTTTTAAACTTCTCAAGAATAGTGAACTCAGTTAAAAAATATAACAATCCAAATGAGCACAAGGGGGATTAAGACTTATGCGCCCTTACCCTTAGCTTCCAAACATAAGCTAAGAATTCTGCAACAGACAGGGTAATTGCTGAGAACTTATTAGACAATAGAATTTTAAGATCATTGTCAGTCGAATTCCTTGTGGAAGGTAAGTGGGGACTCATCAAATAGCTGCGCATGGTAGAGTATTGGGGAGAGCGTAGAAGGATATGAGCAACTGAATCAGGTTCACTATAGAGACAATTGCATATTTATCAATGATTTGGATGAAGGGATAGAAGGAATGCTTATTAAATTTGCAGATGATACTAAATTGGGAAGGGTAGCAAATACAGTAGAAGACAGAGTCAGGATACAGGATGATCTTGACAGACTGGAAAACTGGGCTAAAAGAAATTTAATGAATTTCAATGGGAGGGAAAAATAGAAGACAGAGTTAGGAGAACTTAGAATCCTGCAAAAGAAGGTAGAACTTATTAGTTCTATTCTTTTATTAAAATTTTGAATTCATATAGGTATCCCATACAGTAGACAGGAAATAACAGACGCCTGAAAAATCTGGAGAGCTGCCGGAACAAATTGATTACCTTTTAAATAAAAAAACCGGATTAAAGCTGCAGTCTTATTCCTAGCTAAACTAAGGGAATGATCTCTATGAGGGCACCAACTTAGGTTGTAATGAAACAAAACTCCTAAGTATCTGAATGATTTGACCTGTTCTATTTCTTTTCTCTCTATTCTCCACTGTTCACTCTTCCAGGCTTTGGAGAAAACCAATATTTTTGTTTTATCAAAATTAATAGAGAGAGAGTTCCGACTGCAATAAGAATTAAACTCTAGTAAAAGGCGCAGAAGTCCAATCCTAGTAAAAGAGAGAATGACCGCATCATCTGCATAGAGTAAAATAGGAAGTGCAGAAGAGTTTAGTTTGGGGGAATGGCCATCAATTTTAGCTAGACACAGTGGAAGATCAGAAATGAAAAGGTTGAAAAGGGAAGGGGCAAGTACACATCCTTGCTTGACCCCCTTAGTTACAGGAATTTTCTGAGTAAGGGACCCTCTCTTATCAAAACGAATCTGGCAATAGTTAGCCGAATGCAATTTACGAATCAAAAACAGAAGACATTGATCCAATCCCAAGTTATAGAGTTTGTTCCACAACAAAGATCTATTAACTGAATCAAAGGCTTTACGTAGATCAATAAAAGCTGAGTATAGCTTACCACCTAAGTGGCGGGAATACTTCTCAGCTAAAAAGGCTAAGGTAGTACAGTGGTCTAAGGCCATTGGTTAGCCATGAAACCAATTTGCTCTCTTCCTAGAAGGTTATGATCGACCATCCATTGAAATAATTTTTTGAGAAGATGTTTGGCATAAAGCTTCCCTAAAATGGAAAGCAAGCTAATAGGTCTATAATTATCTATGCTATTAGGGTCACCTTTTTTGAAAAAGGGAACTATTATAGAGTTCAACCAGGAATCAGGTAGGACACCATACTTGTCGATCAGAGTGAAAAGATGAGCTAAAGAATGCGACCACCAGTCAATATTGTTCTTTTAAATCTCGGCTGGGATTCCATCTAAGCCTGGAGCCTTGTTAGATTTGAGAGAAATAATAAGATCAGTTATTTCTTCATGTGAGACTGGAGGCCAGTTAGGGATGTCCAATGGCACTGAACTTGAGTTAATCGAAGGAAATACAGAGGGCTCATTGAATAAGTAATTATAATAAGAGTGCCATCTGGTTGCAGGTATAATGCAAACAGAATTGGCTCCAGTTGAGTAATTAAGTCTACCTACCAATGACCAAAAAGCTCTACTATCATTAGTTTGCACAGCCTTAAAGAGTTGAGACCATTTCTTGGAGTAGAAGGAGTGCATTTTTTGAGCCAGTAATAAGCGGCATTCTCTTTTAAGCTCGTAATATGAGGAAGCGATCCATGGGAGGGAACCCATCCGAAACTGTCGAAAGAACTGGCGTAATTTACTTTTAATGAGCCAACATTCCGCGTCAAACCAAGCATTAAGGGATTCATTCTGAGTATTGGGTTCAATTAATGCTAATTCTATGTCACAAGAGTAGGCAAGGCTAAAGTCAGTGTGTTTAAAAGCCAGCTATTAATTTTCTTACTTTGTGTTTTTCCCTTTGGTGTATTTCATTTCACAGTTGTTATGATTAAACTAATCATGAACAGAGTTGGCATCCTCAACAGCCAGTTTAGAGGTAATTTACCCACACCATGTAAATTTTATATCAACTGATAATCCATGGATGAACTTCCAAGTCTTCATTGCACGGACCAGTTGAAAGTAAAATGCAGTGGTGCTGTCTTCCATATACATTTAGAGATTTATATTTAACTTATTTTTATACAAGTGACAGACAAGGTGGCTCAAAACATGAAATTAAAGAATTATAAAAACAGATTAAAAAAATCAAATAGTCAGCGGCAGAATGAAAGCAATTATAGAGATACAAAAAATTCCTTCAAGAACATCAGATCTATGATGTACAGATCAATTGTCAATAATAGAAACTATAGAAAACAATTTCTATAAGACCCTTAAAATGTCTGGAGATTACACATCAGCTGACATCACTATAGAAAATGGATATTCAAAGAAAAAAAATCCATTACTTAACCAGTAACTCTATCAGAATATATAATCTCACAGCCCAATTACTATTTTCTATGTGTGTGTGTGGGGGGAAGCAATCTGAATGTCAAGTGCCAAAAATCTTCTCTTGTGACTGGGAAGGGAGTTTAAAGCAGGGGTGTCGAACTCATTTGTTATGAGGGTCAGATCTGACATATATGAGACCTTGTTGGGCTGGACCATGTGTGTCATAAAATGTAATGCCAGGTGGCATACATATAAACTTGATAAAGAACATAAACACAATTTTTTTATTTAAAATAAAAACATGCTTAAAAAACATTAGCACTCCTGCAATATTTTATTTAACAGCGTCTGATAACTGACACCTCTTGCTCTGAATTACTGCATCAAAATGTCTGTGCTGTTGCAATCTTGAGTATGCTGTTCAAGTGTGTATCTGTAAGTTACAAACCTACATTTGATTTACTGACATTCACTACAGAAATCTCATGCTCGGAGTTCTGAGCCTAGGACCCAGGGGAAAACATGAAATGGCTGGGCATTGCAAGCTTTTGTACATACATTGCTTTGTGTGCTAGTCAAGAACATGAGAAGGCACCATGACACAGACTATATGCTTGTCTA